TCCCTTTATTAACAAGGGATTACAATCACAGCATTTGGTATCATTTACACACGTACAACCCACGTATTAACTCCTATATATGCAAAACTCCATTCGACAATCCGCTCCCGCAGAGCACTTTGTCAATGTTTCCACATACAAGAATGTCAGTACATCAGATTTAAATACCCCAAGGTGTCCTGAATGACTGCAGGGCACGGCCATTCACAAGAGCCCAGAGGAACGTGGTTTCTTCATTTACCTGGAACTCAGCAATGTTTGCCCTTCTGCCAGCAGCCTGTATGGCCACACAGACTGCAGGGAAATGTAAGGTCTGAGAAGCAACCAGTGGGAAACCAAAACAATATTCTGATTCTTCAGTAAGACTGAAAGGCCACTCCTTTAAACAACTGCAGATTTGGAAATGAAATGATCTCCTAGTAATCCTGTCAGTCCTTTGTATGTGCACTAGCTCAGCTTGTTTATGCTTTACTTCATACTTGGCTATCTGTTTTATAATAAGATGCCTTTAGGAGTACTCACTGTAGGTGCTTACAAATGCTCCTTTATGCAGAAAATAACAAACCCAAACAATGGAATCGTTTTAATGGACTTTAGTTACACAATAGTTTGAAAGAAAATAATGTGTTACTTATAGAAGCACAGGAGCTAATTATTCAGATAATGTGCAGAACAATCTCTGGAACATTAAATAAAAATAAGCATTTCAGCTTCCTTCTAAATACATTCTTTATAATCTCCTAATAGGTAAGCCAAATTTGCTTTTGCTATAAATTCTACACATCCTAATACGAAACTTGGCAGACTTATTATCATTTAATTTCCTTCTTTATCTTTCTTCATTCTTAAAGTTTCATTTAACATTGGCAGAAATGAGCTAGAATAGCTCAAATTAAGAGGAGATCAACCATTATGAATGGACAGTTACCAGCCTCTACTCCAAATACTCCTGGAAATAAAAGGGATTCCTTCTCCAAAGCATTACTGCTCCTCAGACCAACATCTGCCTTTTCAGACAGACCATACATATACAGTACACAACCCATGACAGGGATTGCAAACATGATGTACTTTTTAAGGTGTACTCTGACCTACAACACTGTAGGGTTAATTTAGCCTCATCTTCACATTCCTAAATAACTTCTGATGCACATTTTCAATAGCAATGGAAAAGGACACAGCACAAATAACTTCAGAACTAAGCCAGACATCCCTTCTCAGGGTGATGCACATTGGAGCTCTCAAAACGCTGCCTTGCAGCTGAACATCAGGAATTTTGCAGTCTGACAGTAAAGTTTTACAGTGAAAGAACAGCACGGGATGGAGAGATGCCCTTAGGGAACCCAAGGGCTTTACAGGTGCCTCTCACTTCCAGCTCAGCTTTTCCAGTCCAATACACCTCCATCAAAAATTCAAAAATACTTCCACGTGCAGTGAGTCACACTGCTGCCCTGCTTTGCTCATGCTTCCAGACATTGTAGGTGGCATCTCCCTACCGTTGTGGTGAAACTGCCCAAATTTAAGTGCCTGACACCTGCATTGTCAAACGCTTCTCACAAACAAAAGATTTTATTATTTTGGGTTTGTTCTGAAATTGTAAATAGATTCTTTCAAATGTGACTGTTTACTTCCCTGTAGCAGAAATGCTAAGTCACAGCTTGAAGCAGTGATTGAGCACCTGGTGGGAAGGCAGGGACAATACAGGGGAGCTCAGGTGTATGCAATGTACCTGAGTGATCAGAAGGGGTAGAGCCAGGATCCACCCCTTCCCAGACCTCATTTAAGGGTTGGCAGTGGAGGCAAAGGGATATTGTTGAAGATTCCTATGTACTGGAGGTCTTCTAAGGGTAAGCAGCTTCTTTCCTATATTTCTATACTTACAGTTGCTGTATTTGGGCATATCCTCGCTTGCTGCAGCCTAGTGCTTTTGCTTCTCTGCTGGTGTTGCTGTGCTTTCTGTTGCCATTCCAGAATGGCCCCAGATGAGTGATTTAATGCCGCTAGTGGAAATGTCTTTAAAAAGGAAAAGGATATTATTGTGAAAGCAGCAGGATCCATGAAAACTAGCTGAGCTATACAACTGCACAGTGCTTCTGTGTGCTCAGAAACGTTTTCCTTTTCATCACACAAAACCACTTGCTGTTCTGTCCTTCCAAACAATGCTTATATACTTAGTGCAGGAAGGGTGAAAGGCACTGTTACTACTTCTGATTTCTCCCATTCTCGCTTTTTCAGCACAACTGTAGGAGATAGAGCTGGATCATGTTTTCATTTGAGAGTCATTAAAAGAATAGCAATCAGGCTGCAGCTGCGCTGCTAAAAATCTGTTTTAATTATAAACAACAATAAAAATCCAAGAACACAAATGGGTTCCAGACACACAAGTCAGTAGAAAGATTGAATGTGGAGTCTTTAAGCAGTGATGGTACCTGAACTGCAACAATGCCTGAACATCAGGAAAATCCATGCCTTCACCTACAAACACAATGGCTTGGGACAGAAAGGTAAGCAGTAGTTTGGCTCAGGCACCTCATGCACACTGACCATGTAGTGACTTTCAGAGACAGAAGTATGTCCTCTGGAGCACATTCTTAAGTGAGGTTAACAGCACAAAGTCAGCTGTGCAAAGGAATCGAGCAGAACTTTCTCACTTTTTTAATGAGTGAAATGCAGGCAATGATAAGGGCACTAGAAGAAGTGTTTAAATTCTGGACTGGAGAGAAGATGCCTCCCAGGAAAAGCAGTCTCTCTAACAGTGTGAGGACAGAACTCCATTACCCTTGTTATGCACTTTAAAACAGTGACTACGTGGCTAGGAAATAGCAAGCCTTCGAAAAATCCAGCTGTCCTCACTTTTCTGACCTACTGCAGCTGTTAATTCCTTCTCCTGATGGTGCAGATCACTATTTCTGTTTATTCTTTCTAGACTGACTTGTTCCTGTATCTACAAGTGAAGCTCTTTTTGAAGCTGTTCTTCCTTTACCTGTGGTACAGAGGGGAAGAATAGCAGCATGCTCAACTTGATCTCTGTGCACTCATGCATGCACAACAACTTGTTGTCAGCAGATCATGAAGCTTTTATGGAAGTACTGACTGCAGAACAGTGCTTATGAGGAAGGGGCCCTGCTTTGATCTGGTTTCTGATGACTCTGCAGTAGAGGCCAGCCAGCAGGTAATGAGAGAGAGAGACAGAAACGTTGGCTCTGTTTGACTTTGGGACAGGCTTACTATGTGACAATGAAAAAGTTACTTTTCACTTGTTTTTCTTCCATCCTTTGTTTGCCAGTCCTGTTGAAAGCTTGGTGCTCTCCTTGGAACACCATTCTCTTCCAGCATGTTGTATCTCCTGCCTCTTTCCTGCTCTGGGAACCCTACCTGTGCTTTCAAAGCAGTTGTTTCCAACAACCCAAAGTTCCTGAATTCCTTGCCAAAGAAAGGGAGAGAGAGGAAGGTGGCTTCTTATCTACTTGATAAACGAGTTTAATACTGCACATGCTTGAAATTCAATTTGCAAACCAATAAGCATATCTCTGAAGGGAATGAGTATTTACAATATTCATGTTGTGATCCACAAAATTGACTCAATAACTTAATTCTTTGCCAAAAAGCACCGGGTGAAGCCATCAGAAGAGTAGCCTTAGTTTTTACAGATACACTGGCCAAGTATACAGCTTCAATTTTGCCAAAATATTACATATTCCTTGGCTCCAAGAAACATGAGGCACAGGAAAGACCTTGAAAATGCAGAGGTTTGGCTTTATTTTGCTTCACTGAGTGTAGCTCTTTCTCGCTCCTACAGGAGTGAGAAAAGGAGAAAACATCTCTTCTGAAGGCAGTATCTTCCTCCATTCCCTCTCTTTCATTTCTCTCAAACAGCCATGAGAGCTCTGCTGCCCTTTCCTGTCCATCTCCTTAAGAGATGCAGATAACTCAACAGCAACTGCTGACTGGAGGAGATGAAGTCTGATATGAAATCTGGACCTTGCTCAAGCCAAATACTTGAGCACTCTGCATTAGAGCAAACAGGCAAGTCCTCATTTGCCTGGGGAAGATTAATATTCTCCATCACTTTATTTATATAATTTTATCTCTTATCAAAACAACAGATAAATCTTGTCATGTAAAAACCAAAACTCGTGAAGCTTACTTCACATTCTCTCTTTTATCAGTCAGTAATCCCAAGTGCTAAAACAAATACCTAAAAGTGTGATTTAGCCCTTAGTGCTTTAAAATAGTCAATAAATGTCTAAAGTGGGCTTTCAAGACACAAGCTCAGCCAGTCTCCTCTATACAAATGCATCCTTATGTCAACTACAATTTCAGGGTTGATACGAATGAAGAAAGAAGAAATTAGATGGAATTTAAAATCCTGGCAAACTGCTTGTCACAGAAAGTCCATCTAAAACAATTCCAAGCTAACAGTAAAAGCAATTTAATTTTAATAGAAAGTTCTGGGTTAAAGAACGTAAGCAGCATGCAAAGACCTGATACAGCAGACAACCATTTAGTGTTGTAATTCTAAAGGTGTCATTGAATAAAATACTTTCTGAAGTTAATTCAAAATGATAGCAGCAAGCTACCCAGACTCCAAAAATCAATCTGCCTGGTTAAGTTGCATCTGTGGTTGGGGAACATGAGACAACATATTTGCAAAGAGAGATGCGTGCCTGTCTATGCATTTGTGGAACTTGAGTCATACAATCGTCTGAGTTAGAAGGAACCTTTGAAGGCCATCTGGTCCATCTCCCATGCCATGAACAGGGTCACCTAACCTACATCAGGTGCTCGGAGCCCTATCCTGCCTTCCCTTGAATGTTTCCAGGGACAGGACATCTACCACCTCTCTGTGGTGAATGCAGCCTGTGCCAGTGCCTCATGGCCCTTATTGTAAAAAAACTTTTTTCTTATATCCAATACAAATCTCCTGTCCTTTATTTTAAAACCATTTACCCTTATTATAACCTTGCTAAAGAGTCTGTCCCCTCCATTTTTTTGTAGTAGTAGTTACCATCAATTACTTCAAACATCTCTACCTGGTACATTACCAGCTGCAACACAGTTGCAGAACACACGAGTGCAGAACAAAGGAACTTGGACTTCCAGGTAGCCAAATACATCAGTTGTTTAAAGAAAACAAATAATGATTATTAGCACAAAGTCTTTTCACAGAGGAATGTGAAATAGCAGAGTTAAAACAACACAACTGTTTGTTTTACTCAGAAAGCTTCCATTTTGGCAACTGGGGCAGCAAATATGTGCAAGAGGGAAATCAGAAGAGAGGTAGCTGCTCTGAGCAAAGCTGAGCTTTCCCACCCTACCACAGAATCACTGTGTAACTGTAGGGATAAGGGAGCCAGTTTAGCAAATGAAACAACAGAAGTTCTCTCTCTCCTCCCTCACTGTAACTGCACAATGCTCCCAAGCACCTTCCCCCTAACTCCTACAGCAGAAGAATGCAGATATTGCTGCTGCTGGGTCTACATCTACTCATGGCTAGAAGTGTGAAATCAGAGGATTTTTTCCTCTAATGTTTATTAGATTTGGGGTGAAAACAGACATATTCAATCCTAAGGAATTTCTTAAGTTGGGCAGCTACTGCACATTTGCTGTTTTCAGTCACAGACCCATTCTCCATTAACAGCAGACAAAGAGCACGCACCAAAGGCTCTGGCACACTGGAAGAGACCTCACTGAAATGCCTATTCAGGCCATTTCTAAATGCAGGTTCTAAGGAAGAATAGAAGAGGAAACTAATGATTGGCAAAAATTAATGATGTCCTTAGGGTTTAAGGGTTTTTCTTTGGGGCAGGGGGTGAGGTTGAGCTTCTATAATACATTCAAACACATGAAATAAGGGAAAACAATATACCCAGTCTTACCTTTTTGAGCAGGATGAGAAGCAGAGGTACCATGCCGGCTTTACATAGTGGAGTACACTGGTGAATGTCAAAATCTTCTGACTTCCACTCCATGTCCCCCATCCTTCAAGGAAGGTGAAGCGTATCACCCAAGCAATCCTGCATATAGCAAGATTGTCACGGCAAAAGATGAGAGAACTGGAACATTCTCCAATCTACTGTGGCTGCATGTGCAGAAAAATACAACCATCCTACTTGGCTGATACCAAGTCACTGATTCCAGAATCACAAAGCACACAGTCTGCTACTGGAAAGTCTGTACCTTCCTGCCACCACATCACACCTGTTGCAATTAGTTGCTTCAGGTGAATGAAATTAGGAGAGCTGGAAAGTTTCTAGAAAATCAATACACTGCTCCTGTACACTGAGCACTTTCACATGAGCTTCGTTAACCACCTTCAAAGCAACATGTGGGCATCTGATGCAGTTCTGTTCCCACCTGAGAAGTTGCACACAGAGGAACAGCTTTCAGTTTATGCTTTGCCTTCCCAGACCAGGTAATTACTAAATCTTACCTTATTTAAACTCCACGCAATGGATGGATCAAATGTGATAATCTTTGTGCTCCAAGTGGTGCCTTGCTCTGCTTTCAGCAGCTGATGTGGAGAATAAATAACAAGTAAAATAACAAATTGTTTTCAATTTTGACTCTTGGACTCCATTCATCCACTTTTTTTTTTTTTTTTTTAATTACAATTTGTAATAACATTTTATTTCCAAAGTAATACATGTAAAGACAGATTTTCAGCTTTTAATCTCAAATGCTAACACATGATAAGTGACCTTATTTATTTTAGCAACATTTTGAAGAACCAGTGTTAATCAAATTCTATTCTGTTCTAACTCCAAAAACTAAAACATGGGGAAATGCAATTAGGGCCACATGTAAGAAAGCTCTGCTTGGCATCAGCTAGGTAATTGATACTGTTCATGGCACCTGTGATCTTGCTGTAACATATGGAAATTTGTTCCTATAACAGAGTCAGGTGACAGCACAACTTTTTGTCTTCTTACTAGTACTTTAGAAAACTGAAGGATATTCTGTTGAAATAAAAACATTTCTATTTTAATACTTGCTACATGATTTTTGCTGCTTTAACAGGAACACCAGATATTTCTCCCCATCATACCTTGATTTTTTAAGTCCAATATCTTTGGCTCCACAAGTACTTCATTTAAGAAGTATTTGCTTTTAAGGATAAACAGACGTAAAATGTTTTCCTCACTGTACCAAAAAATGTCTCCATATACCACAAAGCAATGTTTTCTGTTCTTTTTGAAGCACAGAAATGAAAGTAAATTGCCCAGTATCGTGGTTCTTACAGCACTGCCACACAGCACTCTCACCCATTTCTGCCCTTTGCTCAGCTTGCTCCCCTTGTCAGAAGGAAAGACACAAAAACAGATGCCCTACAGAACCCATCTTTGTACCAGCATCTCTCTTGTGTCATCTTCTCACCCAAGCAGTGAGGTGTAAATTTCAAGAGAAATCTGCCTTCATCATGGGTCACTGGTGGTACACAGCTTTTTTGCATTCTGTGATATCTAACAAAACACAAGTTGACACTGCCACACATTGAGAAATTAAGTGATCATAACATAAATCCATTAGAAGCAAGTCTTCATTCATTCTGAAGTTCAATCAAATGCCTGCCAGGTACTTTATTTTCTGAGAACTTCATGCTAAAGAACTATGCTTGCTCTGTTTCTTTTTAACTGTTATTTTTAAAGCAATAAATATGTTTTACCTTTAAAGACAAAAAGACAAAATCCTTAGTCTCATGCCATGAATTGCTCAAACTCACAATGTACTTCTCCTCTGGTATTTATTTTTCATGATTTAGCAGGGTTAGTTTGATCTTTCTGACACACAGAAGTATTCATTCCATCTCTGAGGATGCTAAAGATAGTTATCCCTAGCACAGCTGTACTCAAAGAGAAAAAGAACAGTTGAACTTCAGAGAGAATCATTGCGAGATTGAAAAAAAATGAAGAAAAAAGTGTGACAGATTACATTTATCCTTTTTAGAGAGGAAACAATCTATTAAAATGAAATATTTTCTTCTTCCCCAAAACTTTCACTTTTAAAACCACTATCTACCAGCTAGTAGCTGGCAATGCATGCCATTTCAGATCCCAAACTCTTTCGTTTGTAACTGATCATCTTTTTTTCTGAGACATTCTGGTTTGCTAATGCCACTGAAAGCAGAAAAACAGCATAATAGAACTTAATTCTTGTGCAGACACCATTGCCAAAAGTGACTTTTAAATTGCTTTTGAACGAACCAGAGAGCTCAAGTTAATTGAACATGAGGATTCACGTAGCAAATTATCTCAGTACTAATGGTATGGAAGAAAGAAGCCTGATTAGTAAACCCTGCTGGATACTGCAATGTGAGAAGTCGAGAGATGCCAGAACTAAATCAGTGAGGTGAAGATCAATAGTTCTTTAATCAATGGTGGATTACAGTGGGATTTATTCCGCTGAAACAAGCAGGGGCAGATAAATCCCCCACTGAGATTAATTACTGGGAAGGGTGGATGCAAAGAGAAGGAGTGCAGTTATCTTTGTGACAACTGTAAGTGGCAAGAAGAACGCCAGTGGGAGTACAGAGCTACTGCCTGGATCTCTGCTGGGGACCAGCAACACCCTCATCAAATTCCCACCACCTCCCCTTACTTCCTTACAACAAACTACCTTGAAGCCTGTGTACTTCTACAAACAGAAAACTTACATATATGGGGGAGACAGGGCTGTTTTTAATAGCTTCTGAGTTAATAAAAAAAAATCTGTTTCATGGAGGCAAAAGCACCAATGTGTGCAGTTAAATAATGACAGCTTTATTCAGAAAGATAGTGACTATATTCATAGCACCTACTTAAATAAAGGCGTTGTCAGTGCTGCTGTGGTGTTCTCTTGGGGTTATCAGCATAATCCATCATTACACGCATACTTCTCATATCCATTGTAGCCTTTTGTGCTAAACACTACAGTTCCCACAAACTAATCACTAATGCATCATGCACTGGTGCAAAGTACTGTAAAATAAGACACTAAGCAGGCTAAGTGGAAGAGAGAAATCACAGAGCATCATCTCCTACTTACAAAAATGATTTAGAAATAAGTCATGAATCAGAATTACTGTGATTTTGAACTACATAAGCAATGTAGTAAAATGAAGAAAACAAATACAGCCAACAGTCAGTATTCAATCCTTTACCAGCCCTAGAGTAAGGTATCTAATTGCTCCCCTCACACCCACCCTCTTCATTTTATGTTGACTTACCTTATTAAAAGACAGCAGGTTGCAGAGTCCAGCAGATGTTAAATTTGCCAGACATAATCTGATTAATTTATTTGTTCACTTAAATGATTAGCAGCAATTGTTTGAGAGATATCCAGCTTAAGCCCTGATCAGATGGTACCAGTTTGTCCATTTAATTTCTTGCAGAAAAAAAAAACCTAGAAAATATTTTCAGTTCTAGTGTCATCCTAGCTGTACAGGTTGGTCTGTTTCTAAGCGCTGTGAATTCAGAAGCTTTCAAGTTCTTTTCTCTGAACTTTATCAGAAACCAACAATCTTGTCTATGTGGCAAATCAGGAAGTTCTTTATTGGGAAAAAATGCAAATTTAATACAGATATGAAATAAATCACAAAAAATGTTTTCAAAATCACCTCTCCAGGATACTCAAATTAATTGAAGGTGGAGTCTCAGTGAAGCAAGAGTCTTTCCCACATCATCTCTTACTTTAAAGCAGGTCATAAAAATAATCCAGGCCTTGTCCCAGTTCCCAGATGGATATACCAGTGCCCAATTCTTTTGCAAGCTCTAAGCGCAACTGGATGGACTAAGACAAAGACACATAAAGCAATTAGCTTTTAGTCAGAGGCATCACACACTCCATGCTGTCATCTCTCTCTGCCATTAAAAGACTTTAAAAATAACCATCCTTGAACTTCTGAAAAGCCCAAAGTCTGTATTTCAAATTTTCTCTGGCTAGCAAGCACTCATTCATTAAGAGACAGTTCATTACGCCGGTTAATTCAATGACCTAATGCAAGATAACCAGCTAAATAGACAAAATGCCACCGAAATAAATCTGATTTATGAACTATGCAAAGGACTGTTCTAATTTAAGCTATCATTTCCCAACGTACAGAAATTCTAACTCTTCCCAGAAATTTCCCAAGGGTAAAATAAAACTTTATCAGTGAAGATAATTAGAGCAACCATCAAGATCTTGTAGCTACCCTTGCCTTCTCCCAGGACAGAGTCATAATTTTCGTTATCAGAATTCTATTTTTAAGAGATTCTGGGAGATGAATTTAAAACGTATCTTTATCTATGCTACTGCCATCCATGTAGATTTGGTTTAGACATTGGTTTACAAGGGAAGTAACGTTACATTTTGTGTTCTGTACGTCTCTCAGTTCAGACAATAAAAACAATTTTTTTTGAGTCTTTTACTTTCAGGTTTTCTTACTTCGAAGTGCAGCGCTGTTTGAACAGCTCACACCACAGGGATGTCTTTAAAACTCACTTCCATAGGAAACAGAACAAAATGTCAAGGTGTCATTAATACATCTACCAGGCCTGGACTTCATGCCTGCCTTTAACTAACCACAAACAAGTCAATTCTGAGCAGCTTAACCTACCAGTGATTACAACATTAAAAAGGGGAACAAACACATTTGTGAGTAGAGAAATAAACCCAAATTCAATGTTGACCGTTTTGATCGCCATGATGTGAACAACTCTTTGATTCACACAGTCTCTAAATATTTCATTACAATCTTGAAACCTACAGGACTGAATGTTCTTGTTCAGGCTAGGTCTGATGCTAGGAGGGTGAAATTCTAACACAAGAGCACAGAGAATGTAATGTGATAACATGCAGCACAATCTGTCTTTTCTCTGATAGATTTGCAGTGAAATTTCAGGGCAGATACTAGCAAGAATATAGTTAGACATAGCAATTCATATCCCATATGTGCTAGTACTTCCACCTGTTTTACATTAATGAAGGGAAATATAGTTGTACTAACAGAGCATAAGACAATGTTCCCATTCAGAAAAATGGAGCTTTGGAAAATTTCACAATAGTATAACCATATTGAATGTCTCTGTTCTCTCTAAATATGATGTATTTCTTTTACAGAAGCCAGCAGAGGCCTAAAATTCTGCCTTTAGTTTAATTGGAGAAAACCTAAAAATAGCTCATTAGGAATTAAAGCAAGTAACCATTTATCATGTATTTTGGTACCCTGCAGACTACTCTTTGGACAGAAACTGTATGTCCAGCGAAAGGACTTCAATAAGGTCAATGTTGTTCAGAGGGCAAATTTTGTCAGTCTCTTCTCTGACAATCCAGCATCTGTTAGAACATGAACTGTGCGCTCAAACAGCTCCTTTCAGAGCTCTGGTTTGCCCTGGTGTCTCTTATCTCTAGACATGGCAAAGCTTCAAAGATCCCCTGAACCCCATTATGCCTTAGACAGAAAAAAAAAAATCTTGCACAGGAAGCTGAAGCCTTTTATCATAACTACAACAGGGTGAATTCTTTCACAAAAGTCTAAATCCAGTTCAGTATTTTATAAGTGTCTTAATCATCGAAGTCAAGTAAATACTTCTTTCCTCTTACTGCCCTGGGTCAGAAAAAGTCATACCTACCTTCAGTGTTGGATAGAAGATGGCGTGTTTTCCTCCTTTATTTCTAAAAAATAAAGGAAAAAAAAAAATAGTCACAATTGCTCTAGTAGACTCTCTCACAATTTTTAGCTGAAAAGTTTTATTCCTTCCAATAAGAAGGGAACAAAGACGGTGCTTAAGAAAACTGCTGGCTTTATTGTGAAAAAGATATTGCTTTTAAAAATAAGATATGCTAGTATGTTCAGTATCTGGGAATTAATACGCCCATATCAAAGATAGAGACCATCTGCAATTTAGTACCTTGTTTGAGATTTTTTACCGAATGGCCATTTCGTTCTAGATGCTGAAACTGACTCTTTCTCAAATTAGACACTTTCGCCATCAGCTTCCATTCAGCTCACACCTGCACTCTGTCTACAGCACAGGGCCAAAATGTTCTCTACTGCTCTTCCATTTCTAATGCAGACAAAAACTTCTACTCCTGCCCTTCTCTGCTGTAGACACAACCACGTCAGAGCACAGGAATCCAAAGTGATGGGGAAAGAAAAGCAGCCAGGGGAAGGTACCCCTGCACTGTGTATCTAGAAGTCAAATAAATGTGCAGGTATCAGTTACAGGAATATCTATCGGAGTATCTTGCAAGGTATTTATTTACTGTATTCTAGTGGTCTTTAGGAGGACAACATTTAAAAGAGGTAAAAAGGCTGATAGCTAAAACAGAGACTCCAAGACATCCAAGAAGATGCAAAGTGAGAAGGAGATCTCACAATAGAAATGGGTTGATAAGAGATTTCAGTAAATACACCCCAATATCTTGCTGCAACTGGATGCAACATTCTAAATCCATTCAGTAGTAACACAGAGATCTGCCTACTAAATGTTTACCTAGAAGAAGATAAAGACACTTGGTTGTCAGATGGAAACTGAACAATTTTCCCAAATAACTGTCTTTTACGTTAAACTAAATACTAGTATAAAGTGTATGGGCAGGGCAAGCTTCACTGGGCACAAATGCCAAGGTTGCATTTTAAATCTCCAAATAATGAGAAGGATGAGTTAGAGGTGGTCTCAAAGCATCAATTCTCCAGTTAGGCCAGAAGGAAATGCAGATTGCTTGGGCGGACAAAGTGGACACTGGCTGGTAAAATCACTCATCTTGAGCAAATGTGTACCTACCAGTATAGTGCACTTAGAGACAATAGATTTCTGTAATTATTAGCTAGTCTCTGCCCACTACTGTACTTTGCTTGAAGATTCATAATTTGATTTCTTAGCAATTGCAGACATGCAAGATTTCCTGGTGAGGTGTTTTACTATTGCTGCATATTCAGGCTTTCCTACTCTTCCTATCCAAAATAACTGGACCCTCACAAAGCAAGGTGGTCACTGAAAGAGCTCCCTTAAATAAGCCTCCCCTGCAGTCAGCTGAGCCACTGCAGACATGCTGAGATGCACGACTGCCTGCCAGCCACAGCATAGCTGGAGTTCAGAGTGATTTTCTCATCCAGTTTGTTTTACGCATGGAAAACTCTTTCAGAAAGCCTACAAACATCATTATCTCCAAAGACTGCCTTTCAAAGGTAAATGAGGTAGTGCTACTGCCATGCCTTCTCTTTTCTATATCCTGTTTGGAAGAAGACATTTAGGAAATGCTTCAAGAATGAATCCCAGATATATGCCATTCAAACAGAGCCCTCTGATTTACTCTCGAGAGCAAGTTGTCATCATGTGGTCATTGTGCCTCCAACTGGATTTTGCATTAAAGATTAGTAAAACTAGGCCTCTGGTTTACTTCTCTTTAGTTTACATGAAAAATCTCTCAACTGTTTTACACAAAGTAACTGTGCAACAGGTTATCGAAGAATTAAAAAGGAAAGAACACAGATTTCAGTCCCTTCAGAAAAACACAGAAAATAAATTGCGACACTGCTGACCAGCAGGTAAATGTATTTTGTTCTGATAAGAAATGCGTGTAGTTGAGGAGTTTACAAGGTAGGATAAAATTGCAGGTTGAAAGAATCCTGGAAAATTAATCATAAATATATAGGTAGGACAGGGCTCTTGTTGTTGTTTCTTTCTTGAGTTTTAAAATATTTCAATCAAAAAGGTGTTTCAAAAAATGTACTAACACTGCTGCTTTTTTCCTAAGGCACCCCAAAATGCATTTCACTCATTTTCAGTGGCATGCTCTCTTCATGTTGTCAGTGCATTGGATAGTATACAAGATAAAGTTTTGGAGCAACACTAAGATCTTGTTTGTAGAATTTTACCATATTTTTTTATGTTTGTATATAATATATAGCAAATTATTACTGAAGCTTAGTAAGATTTTGCTGTTTGTTTGTCTGTTTTGAATGTATTTTTACTGAATCGTTACATGAATTTTTACATGATGAATTCTCATCATTTCATGGTGAAAAAAGAAGACAGTTATTAATCTTTTTCTTCACACTCTTGGGAAAACATTCCCAGTCTTTTTAACAACTTCTGTTACAGACCTGATACTCCATAATATTCTCTATAATCCATCTCACATAGTGCAGGTCTGTTGCTGACCAATTTAGTCAGTAGGACTTGTAAAGGCTCTTATATTCCACAGACTGTTTGGAGAATTACATTTGGCTGATCATTGGTAATCACTTGACAGCTCAGAGTACTCATTTCAGATGCACAGTGTAAATGGCACTCAGCAGATAATTTTGATGGATAACTTCTAAAGATATGACTCATCAGACTTCTCTTCTGAAGATTGTTTTAGCTTATATTATTTCATTAATCCTTCCCTGGTTTAATTCCCTTGCCTGAGGCACTCTTATACTACAGTTCGGTGTTGACACACAGATCACAAACATCAAAATTTCCATTTACTGATTTCAGTTGCATACTGCAGTTAACTGGCAATTCATTGTGTACTGGGCCGTGTCTAAGAATATTTGTAGAATAGTTAGTGAATAATTGTAACTCACTTTTTGTATTCAAAGTAGTGTTCAGCAATTTGTTCATCCCAGACAATCTTTGGTTTGTGCTCCTTCAAGGTTTCAATGTACCTACAAATTAAAAACACAGATATGGAATTAACTACTTCTAAAAAGCAGATATGAATTAAATAGCAGACAATCTTGAAAACACAGTTTTACCGTGCTGTCAAATATTGTATCAAAATGTTCTTGATTACAAATCATTTTATCAGCCACATTTCCAATTTGCCATGTTCATGTTTTTAAGCTTTTTTATTTAAGCAAAGGAATTTACATTGATTAGTTAAAAAGATCTACAAAGACACAGGATTCACTGTGCTTCAATATTTGTATAGCCTAATTCTTATATGCCAAAGGAACTGAAGTCAGTCCTAGAGGCTAATTAAGGCACTTCTCAATTTTAACTCACTATTATGTGAAAAAAGCTCTCCTATAAAAGGAACTTAGTTAATGTTCTAAGAATGAAATAAAAAATGTAAAGCTTATTTAAAAGGAAAACCTACTACTATGAAACCTTTAGAAAAATTATCTACACCACTCTTTTCTTGGCATTATTTTCTTGCAGTGGACATTTTGAATGGGAAATTGTCTACCTCATATCTAAGTGACACAAAGCAAAGACAGAAAATTTGTACACAAAAACTTATACACAAAAACTGCGCAGGGAACCAGTGAGGAATGGTTAGGATGGTCTAAGTTGTGCTCTTTGTTCCCAGCATTGTCTCAGTGTAGGGACAGCATCTCCCTGTGTCTGCATCTCTGATTGCACAACTGAAACAATGCTGCCTGCTGCCTCCTGGAAGTCCACTAAAAGCTGGCAAGCTGCTGCCTAGGACAGCACCACAGTCATGAGAGGAGTCTCTATCACAAGTTCTTCCATCCCTTCTTCACCTTTGGCCAGAAATAAGGCTGAATTTAACTCTGCTGATGACTTCCATATGGACTACATATTAGGGGGTTTATCTGGCCACGGTCCATTGGTTTCTGTTTTTCCTTGGGGACTGTATCAGCAATTTGAATTTCAACTCCTATCAGCAGTACTCCACCTTTCTCATGATTATATAAATCAATCACAAGCAAATACAGTTGTCATAAGTAGTAATATAGTAGATTTTATAGAAAATCTGTTAAAACTGTGTCTTTCATAGTATGTCTCATTTCTTCAATAACATCTCTGCTCATGACAAGGTTTGCAGGGAGAAACATGGCTTCAAGTTTTATTTGAAATTTCTACCTCCTAAGTGAAAGTTTTTATAAATAATTTTCATCAGACACCATCTTGATCTTGTCATTGCTGAAACTCCATTTCACTGTATAGGAAAGAGAGGGAGAGAGGGAGAATTTGTAATTCTGTTTGAAAAAGATTCACTCTGTCCTTCCTTACTAATCTAAATTACAACACTGAGCATTGCAGGGAATATTTTCTCTCTCCTGTGGTTAGCTCATTCCTATATTGGTAAATTGTCACCTACTGGTAGAAGCATTAGAAAATATTTTCATTTCATATTTAGGCCAACCCAGATGAGCTCCTTAAGCATCTACATAAGCCAAAAAAAAAAAAAAAAAAAAAAAAAAAAAAGGTAGCAGCAGCTATTGCACTATTCCTCAATATACACATGCCCAGTAACAACATAACCTTTTCAAGTAATGAAACCTTGGAACCTTCCCTACCCTTTTTAAGAAATACAAAATGTTAAGTTTTGTATATTGAACATTTAAAGATAGTTTTTTAACCCATTCCAGAATGGTGACTTCAATAATGGTGGGAAATGCAGAATATAGGACCAAGATGTTACAGCCAAGAGTTACCAGCCAAGGCACCCTGGCACAGTTTCCTTCCTGAACACATATCCTTTGATGGGAAACTCTCACTTCTGTAGCTAAAAAATTCATGATTATAGAATGTCCAACACACATTTGAGCAAGCTTTAGAATCAGAAGTATAACTTGCAGCAGTCATTACAGCCTACTACGTATAAGATATTATTATTTTAAAGCTGTTCAGGCATGCAACTTATTTAATGAGAACCTGTCCTGACCATGCGATGGGAATTTGTTTCCCTTTCTCCTGGCTCTGGGCATTTATCACATGGTATGTAAGAGCAAAAATGAATGAATTTATCTTTAAATCGCATGTAAAGTGATGATGCTAGCTCCAAGCTCGAGTTCAGGAAAGAAGAAATATTAGGCACAAAATTGACACTGCTTTCCATTTATCTTGGGGATCCTATTTGAAAAGCACTAAGTTGTTATTAACGTTGTCTATATTAAGGACAGCAAAAATTCAAAGTACAGTGTTAAAAACAGTGAGCACCCATTCAGTTTGAATTCTACTGCACGCAGACAACTCCCACATATTCCATTCTTCTCTACCCTATCTGTGCATTGTATAATAGTGCTACACCAGCACATATTGCCTCTTAGCCGAGGCGGTACTTGACTCAACAAACGTGTAGTTATTTAAAAAAGAAAAAAGTGAACACAACTGATGCAATTTTCCATCACACTGAGCCAGACAAGCATGGGATACAAGAGTTCCAGATTCATTTCCAGGAGGAAAAGTGATGGGCAGAGAGCTCATCATAAAGAGCCTTCTCTCTTCTCTCTACCTTACATCACTCTTTGCCTCTCTGCTCATATTTATTGCTTTTTTTTCCTCTCTTCTCTTTCTAGTTTTCCCCTGACTCTTTCTACTTCCACTGTTCCAGCTCTCATCTGCTTTTATATATTCTTGTCTAGACTAAAATTTATTTTGTTCCTTGTCTATCAGCTCTTAACTTACTAGACATCTTCTTTTACCAACCAGCTTCAGCAGCTGGGCTATGGCAAAGACTGAAAGCTTGGCTTCACTGCTTTGCACTACATATTTCCCACGTTGCTGTGACTATTTGCAAATAGAGTTGTGCTCAGTTTCTCTGTTCCTAGCCTGAAGCAACAGCAGCATGGATGAAGCACCTAAGGTGCTGAAGCTGGCTTCTAATGAAGCTCCAATGCAACACAAAGAAATACACATGGATTATCAGGTATAGTAGCAGAAGACATGTTAACTGTGCACCCAACTCCCAACCACTTCTTCTAGAACACAGAACTACCACTGTGGCTCAGCTAAACAGGTCTTGGTTTAACTTAACCAAGTACACATAGTCCATGTATGCCACCTGCTATCACTATGCAACTCTAATGCTCCCTGCTGGCTCATAAACCCACTGGACAGAACAAATGAGAATTCAAAAGGAACATACGATGGAGTACCTGCAAAGCAAGCCCTGGCAGAGAGGTGGATCTATGAGCAGCATGAACATGGTTACATCTACACATGGCTGCACACTTAGCTGACAAATAAAAGATCCAGAAGAAAACATCTCAGAATGTATGGCTGCTGTTCTTTTCCTAAGACAATTTTCTACCAAAATATGAAAGATGGAATGGCACTGAAATATGTTAAGGTAAAAATAGTGATCTGTTGTTCTTCTGAAGAAAATATTTATCTTCATGGATAATGCTTTTTTACCGAGAATACAAGGATCTTTTGTACAAGAATACACATTCTAGGAAAATATATTTTCAGATATAATCTTATGTTAAGATTTTTAATCATCAGGTGCACTTTGATGCTTTTTTCTAGTTCATGTAAGCAAAACAAACTAGAAACAACAGGTCTTTAAGAGGGAATGACAGTCTACTGCTCTCCTTTTAGTCAAACTATGCAACCTTTGATGATGTGCAACTTGTCTTCTGTTTCTGGATATTCTCATCTGTTCCTGCTGCAGCAAACCAGGCTTATCTGACACAGTACCAAACATGAATGAAAGCATAAAAACCTACTTTCCAGCTTGTAGAAGGGGTGTGTGCATGCTGTGTATGTGTTGAATGGGAATAACCAGAAACTCAAACGTGAAATGAGTTATGCACACACAGACAAAACTAAACCAACAACAGGCTCAAATGCACACCTGTTTTGACTACAGTATGCTCAGACAATCAGAAGAAGATTGACGGTACATGTTTTCTTTTACCAGTCTGTTTCAGTGACAATAGCCTGAACTTGGTTATTAAACCTTGAATGCAGCAGGAACTGCATCTCCGTAACTGCCCACAGATGGTTCCTATCCACAGCAACAGAAGTTTTAGACTGCACTAGATAAGACCCATCTTCCCCTTTTACAGTTTTATCTCTTAATAAAAACCAGAGAAAATATGCAAAAAGTTTGTATTCTACAGCTGAAGAGCTTGGATTTCTGACGTTAAACAAACCTAGAGAAACAACTAGAAGATAGTATTCATGGTTGTACTCCAAGAACATTCCTTATCTTGGTATGTATATTTCAAACAGTACTGAGCAGTCTCCGTGTTGCTCTGTTGTACATCAGGGCACTGCGTGAAAGGACTAACAACTTCAAATCAAGATTTTTTTAGAGGAAATATCTATATATATGTATAATTTAGTACTAAGGGACATGGTTTAGTGGGCAGTATTGGTGGTAGGTGGATAGCTGGATTAGATGATCTTAAAGGTCCTTTCCAACCTTAAATGATTTCACGACTCAATCAAGGCTTTTCGTTAGTGTTGGATTTCAACTACCACAACACTTTCACATTGTAGCCGTTCAGGCTTTGCCCATAGCTTTCCTTCTGGTGAGAGAAAATGTCAAGGAAGAACATAATCAGGAGACATTTTAAGACTTCACATCTGAGTAAAGCCAGCATTGGTAGTGAGAGAAACAGCTCTTTAAAAAGGTGCTTTTTTTGCGGGTAGTGAGAGAACTAGAAAGACAGAGAATTGGCCAGGAGAAATTATACAAAACCGATGATGGGTTGTCATAGTTCTGAATATGTCAAAAATAATTTTGTATTCAAATATTCCATTTTACAGCTGCGGCAGAAAATGCTGTAACTTGCGTCTGAGTCTCAAGATTCCTTTTTGGCCTTTCTCTTTCTTTTTTAAAGAACAGTTCTAAAGAATATCTGCAGAAATGTTGAATATACGAGAAGCCAGAGAATACCTTCAATGGTAATAAATGAAAACATAAAAGAAAAGAGAATGTGAAAAAGGACAATATAGATATTTT